GAGAAGCAAAATTACATAAGAAATCTTGCTATCTTGAAATTGGTCAAAAAGAAGTGCTTATGATTTAAAAGTACAAATATATGCCAATGGGCTCAGAAAACAAACAAACAAACTACTTAATTCAAAGTAAAAGTTTTCATTCCCCATTCACAGATATTTGTTCTGGTTTTAAACTTAATTTTGTCCAATTTCTCAAAAAAAAACAAGACTTCACAGCTTTTTACATTTTTTTTGCATCTCAAGCAAATGTATCTTGATTTAAGGATATTTCAATTGGAAAACAAGACAAAAATACTGAAGATTCGTTTATTGCAGTGCCTGCCAATGGGCTCAGAAAACAAACAAACAAACTACTTAATTCAAAGTAAAAGTTTTCATTCCCCATTGACAGATATTTGTTCTGGTTTTAAACTTAATTTTGTCCAATTTCTCAAAAAAAAACAAGACTTCACAGCTTTTTACATCTTTTTTGCATCTCAAGCAAATGTATCTTGATTTAAGGATATTTCAATTGGAAAACAAGACAAAAATACTGAAGATTCGTTTATTGCAGTGCATGCAACATTTAATGCCATGACTTTATGAATTTAACCCCCGGTTTCACAGACAAGGCTTAAGCCTAGTCCCAGACTAAAATACATGTCTGAGCTGTTTTAACTGAAAGAAACTTGCACTGCCATATCTTAAAATATATGAGTGCCATTGTTTTGTCTCAAGATTCACACCAGTAATGTTTTTTTTCCCTAAGGATTGTTTATAAAAGACATTTAAATGTCCTAATTGAACTATGGCCTAAACCTGGCTTAGTCTAAGCCCTGACTGTGAAACCAGGCCTAAGACTTTCTGCTCTGATTTAAGAATAAGAATGTGTGGAAGGGTGAATTAAGACTTTTTAAGACCCACAAAAATGAGTCATGGGTTTTATTTGTTAAAGTGTGCCAGAGTTCAGTTGGGAAAGGTTCCAGCTGTGATGGCCGATAGACTTTGGCGGGGTTTTTTTTGTTTTGTTTTTTTGCAGGGGGACGAATATTACTTTTATGGTAGTGCGAAGAGGAGGAGATCTGGTATGACAGTTCATTCATAAAAAAATGGTTGAAATGGATGTGTTTAATATCTGTAGCATTGTCTTTAAAGAAGTTGAAAGCAGCCCTTTGTCAGTTGAGAAAACCATGTGGCCATTGTAGATTAGCAGCTAACATGTAGCCTAAATTTACTATTTTTAAGACTTTCTGCTCTCATTTAAGACTAAGAATGTGTGGAAGGGTGAATTAAGACTTTTTAAGACCTGCAAAAATGAGTCATGGGTTTTATTTGTTAAAGTGTGCCAGAGTTCAGTTGGGAAAGGTTCCAGCTGTGACGGCCGATAGACTTTGGCGTTTTTTTTTTGTTTTGTTTTTTGGCAGGGTCCAGATTATCACTTTCCCTCAGGCACATTCCTCACTGCCCCCACCCACCTGCCCAAAATAAACCAGGGGTCTTATCCCTTTCCACATGTACGGAAGCACAAACTACAGCAAACAAACTAGTGTTATGAGGCAACAAGTAAATATGTCTAAAATCATTAGTGTGTTGTTGCAACTGGGCGTATCATCCAGTTTCGCATTCTCATATTCAGAACGCAAGCAGGGGTGTAAAGTATTCATTATATAACCATTCAAGTACCACGCAATCATTGTGCAACATCTCAACGTACAGACAGTGCTGCATGTCTTGATTGCATAACTGCCCACAATATTCAAGTTTTCTGGCAACGACTTGATATGAAGATCATACTTGGAACTGAATGCTAATGCTCCAATAATATTTCTGTCGGCCGCCAACCAACAGTTGTAAACACCTGCAAACGCTTCAGTCAGCACATCACATGCCCAGCATACGCAAATCACATGACCTTGTTCTCAAAAGCAGGGTACAAAATGTTCAAATCCAACATGATTATTCAAAAAAGAATAACCTGCAATGCTCCTTAATCGGAAATCTTGGGTTAAAAAATTCCCCAGGAAGGGTACAGATGTCACAGCACTTCTGGAGCACATGAAACAGTCATTATGGGAAAGCAGTATTACAACGGCATGGAACATAATCACAATAGTGTTACTGCATGTTGCCTTTCAGTTCCATAAATCAGCTACAAATTATCTTACTGACTAGTGTTTTCAAAAGTATGTGTACCTGATACTTCAATTTTAAAAACATAACAATACCAGCCTTTCTCCAGTACCGGTAGTACAGAGTATCAGGTCGATTCGGTACCTGCTGATGACAAAAAAAATCTGATGTGTCAAAATAGATCTGTGCATTAAGTCTTGCAGTGTAAATGCAATAGAGCTGCCAAATGCTCTGCTACCTGTAATGTGTTTCTTTGTTATTTTATTATTTTAATCTGATCTCGTTAATGCAGTGGGGGAAAAACATTAAATTGTTTTAAGTGTGTTTTTTTATTTGGTTGGCAGTGCATAACGTAGATGATTGACAGGTGTTGTTGTCATGACCACTGCTCCAGACGAAGACTCTTCATTGTCTCAAATAGCAGGGCAACCGAACTCTTTCTGTATGTAGGAGGGAGAGACCTTCAATATTCAAAGTTCATTTTGAGAAATCAACAAATATGCATATTCTGCATGATCCGGCATTTGGCTTCATGTTCTGAGATAATCAGTAATTATGTCTTAAACCTTCCTTTATTTTCGGTCACATGACATCCTAACAAGCCTCAGCCTGCACATACGAGCTAAACAACTACAGCTAATATATAACTGTGTGCCAGACCATATGTGTTGGGAATGTCACTGTTTGATATGCGGTTCAGGTTTAACAAACAACAAGAACAAACATAAATGCATGAAGTAATAAAATTACTTCATTCACAATTTCAGGATCGTAGCTACAGTCTGGTAAGAAAACGATGTTGGAATTTACGCATCTGGCTTGTGATTAGTTGTGCACCAACATAATCCAAAACTATACAATTTGAGTATTTAAATGTAGTGTGCTTTTGAGCAGTGACGGTCAGATGTACTCAATCCCTCTGACTGTATATTGCTTAGTTTAGGAGTTCTGCTTTCATAACTCACTTCACAAAATCTCACACTCAGCATAAAACATTACAGCTTCAGCCCCAGATAAATTAGTCAAGTTATTTCCTCAAGTCCTGCTCGCTGTCTTGTAAAAAACTATTGTAATTATTACAATATCAATAGCAATAACGATTTTGTCATGATGCTGCAGCTTCACCCTCTAATGGACTCCTGTTTTTTTAATTTGTAGGATTTACATCATGCAATTTTAGTGTAAATTCAAGTACATGAGGAGCATGTGTAAATAAACATAAGCAACATGTCAGATGACAGCTTCTGTTCCACCTTTGCATTGTAAAGATGGATTTTGTTGATGTTGGAAAACATTTGAGTGTTAACAGTCTATAGTATTGTGATTAATTGCAGTAACTGGTTAAATTTAAAGGAATAGTTCACCCAGATATGAAAATATTGTCCTTATTTTCTCACCCTCAAGTTGTTCCAAACCTGTATACATTTCTTTCTTCTGTTGAACACAAAAGAAGATATTTTGAAAAATGTTCATAATCAAACAGTTGCTAGTAGCCACCGACTTCCATTCAATTTATAAAAATAGCCGGTAACACTTTATTTTAAGGTGTCCTTGTTACACATGTTTTATGTACTTACTATTATAATAACAATTAATTATGCTTAATTACATGCAAGTTACCCTAAGCCAAACCCTAATCCTAACCATATAGTAAGTACTTGTAGTTACATCGGATTTCTTTTTATGTACAGTTGGGAGCGCTGAGCATTATAACCAATCACACACATTTCTGTTGAGCTTGTGAATGCAATGGCCAATCAGCAGCATTCTGATTCATCACCGCGGAGAACGCTGGAGTTGACTCACTGACGGAATTCTGAATCTGCGTTCATGAATTCTCTAATCATCATAAATGACAAATCCAGAAAATGTGTAAGTAAGAATCATTTTGCAGTTTAGACAGCTTCAGTGATTATAACATGAGTTTTTGCAAAAGTGCATAACTCACATTAGACTGAAATCATGGACCGCGGCTTTCTTGCTGGCTTTCTTTATATAATTTATTCCTAGTTTGAATAACAGTTTTGTTTTTGTCTTGATTTTCTAATCTGTAAAAATAAATAAATTCACATTCATAAACTGTTTTTAACTTTTGCCTGTAGCCAGAAAAAAAAACTTTTTGTAAAAAACTATTGTAATTATTACAATATCAATAGCAATAACGATTTTGTCATGATGCTGCAGCTTCACCCTCTAATGGACTCCTGTTTTTTTAATTTGTAGGATTTACATCATGCAATTTTAGTGTAAATTCAAGTACATGAGGAGCATGTGTAAATAAACATAAGCAACATGTCAGATGACAGCTTCTGTTCCACCTTTGCATTGTAAAGATGGATTTTGTTGATGTTGGAAAACATTTGAGTGTTAACAGTCTATAGTATTGTGATTAATTGCAGTAACTGGTTAAATTTAAAGGAATAGTTCACCCAGATATGAAAATATTGTCCTTATTTTCTCACCCTCAAGTTGTTCCAAACCTGTATACATTTCTTTCTTCTGTTGAACACAAAAGAAGATATTTTGAAAAATGTTCATAATCAAACAGTTGCTAGTAGCCACCGACTTCCATTCAATTTATAAAAATAGCCGGTAACACTTTATTTTAAGGTGTCCTTGTTACACATGTTTTATGTACTTACTATTATAATAACAATTAATTATGCTTAATTACATGCAAGTTACCCTAAGCCAAACCCTAATCCTAACCATATAGTAAGTACTTGTAGTTAATTAATATTACTCAGTACTTAAATGGATAATTACACTGTAACAATGACACCTTAAAATAAAATGTAAACAAACTGCTCTTACATAGGTTAAAAAAATGTCCCAGGAAGACAATTCCAGAGGAAAAATATTGCCCTTTAGTGTATAAGTTAATTTCTGACCTGTCTGAACTGCTCCTCATAGGTCCAGTCTGCGTGGTCCTGTCCATGGAGCGGCCCGTGGGATGAATGTGTGGAGTGAGTCAATGCCCGCGGTTCACTTTCAGAACCAGGCCGAGCCTTAAGCAGCTGGGAGTGAGGGTGTAAATGGCGGTGGGGTAAGAGAAGGATGCCTCTGCCTGGGGTAACAGCCTCACGGCCTGACGGTAGCACTTCGTCACCTAAATCGTCATCATAGTCTTCTTCCATCTCACCCTCAAAGTCATCTTCATCCCATTTCTGTTTTCTGCGCAGGAACACATGAGATGAAATGTTACAGAGGGACGGTTATGAATTCAGGCAACTCATTCAAGTTAATGAAACATTGCTATGGGTTAACTGCCATCCAACTACCATGCCACGAATTCTGTTAAAATGAGAAAATGATTTACAGAAAGCTACATATTAAATATATAGTAGGTACACAGTAGACTTGTACATTTTCTGAAGACGTGAGAGATGCTTGTCCAATTTCTTTTCAGCACATTTCTTTTAGCCATATTTATAGCAAAACTTTCTGGTATTTCTGAATTTGATTGTTTTTTCATTTTTTTTTAATTTCCTCAACATGGCATACACTACTGGTTAAAAGTGGAATAATTATGATTCTGTAATGTTTTTGAAAGAAGTCTCTTATGCTCACCAAGGCTGCATTTATTTGAATAAAAATACATTAAAAACAATAATATTGTGAAATATTATTACAATTTACAAGAACTGATTTCTATTGTAATATATTTTGAAATGCAATTTATTTCTGTGGTTTAAAACGGAATTTTTAGCTGCCATAATTCCAGTCTTCTGTGTCACATGATCATTCAATATGTTGATTTTGTATTCACTTATTTTTGATAATCGGGTACCACAAATAAAGAGACTTTAATAAATGTTATTTTTATAACCAAAGGTTTAAACAGTTTTTGCTGCTTACCATATTTGTGAAAATCATGATACAATTTAGTTTTCAGGATCCTCTGATGAATAGAAAATGTAATAGATAGAAAAGCAGCATTTGAAATACAAATCTTCTGTAACTTTATAAATGTCTTTACAGTCACTTTTGATCCATTTAATGCATCCTTTCTGAATAAAATTATTAATTCCTTTTCTTTCTTTACTTACTCCAAACTTTTAAATGGTAGTGTATCATAGTTTCCACAAAAATATTCAACATTGAGCAGCAAATCAGCATATTAGAATGATTTCTGAAGGATCACGTGACACTGAAGATTGGAGTAATGATGCTGAAAATTCAGCTTTGCATCACAGGAATGAATGACATTTTAGAATATATTCAAATAGAAAACAGTTTCATTTTATTATACTGTAATAATATTTCACAATATTACAGTTTTTACTAAATTTTTGATCAAATAAATTCAGCTTTGGTGATCATAAGTGACTTCCTTCAACAACGTAAAAAAATTAACTTTATTCTAAACTTCTGACCGGTATATGTAATGAACTCCCCTTTAACACATGTATATGCACAAATGTCACAAATTCAGCACAACATAATGCCGTTTAAATGTAAAACATCCAACTCAAGTAGCAGCCAATAACTTATTTGCATTAATTTGCCAACTTACATCTGCTCTTCCTCCTCAGACCCCATCATATCTTTGTATTGCTCCTCCCCTTCCTCTTCATCCTCCTCCTCATCAACTTCGTCTCCTCCACTGCTGTGTTCAGACATGGGGCTGTCGGCCCTCTGAAGTCCAGCTGCTACTGCACGCATTGCTGCTAGCGCCGCCATCTGCGCCTGCTCTGTTTCAGAGACAGAGATTGCTTTCAGCCCCTCCCCTACGGGGGCGGGGCTATGCGATTGCCCCGCCTGCTCCATCAGCAGTTTGGCTCTCTGCTGTCTGTGCAGGTTCTCCATCACCGCCTGCAGCTTCATTGCCTGGGAAACAGGACACGCTAGGATTCTGGCCCCTTCACTTCCCCCAACAGCCGAAAACAGACCGGACCCCTTTCTATAAACCTGATCCAGAAGGCAGGGCTTCAGGAAACAGGAAGTGTTGGTCTTCTACTTGACGGACACCAGCAGACAGCTAAGGGGAAGATGACCCCCACACACAGGGGCCTACCTGAGAAAGAAAAATTATAAAACGTTAATTTAAAATATTTGATATATAAAAATTGGCGCTGCACCAAAATTTCAGCAACCAAAAAGTTTTGGGCCAAAATAGCAATTTTCAGTTTCTACTGAAATTGTTTTGGAAGGCAAAATCAGAGACCAAAACAGCAACAGTTAATTAGCATTTCTCCTATGGCATGTTTTGACTGTCAGCAGCTATTGTGCACACAACGTGGATAAACAGGGGAAGTCGTGGCCTAATGGTTAGAGAGTTGGACTCGTAACCCAAAGGTTGCGGGGTTCGAGTCTCGTACCGGCAGGGATTGTAGGTGGGGGGAGTGAATGTACAGCGCTCTCTCCCACCTTCAATACCACGACTGAGGTGCCCTTGAGCAAGGCACCGAACCCCCAACTGCTCCCCGGGCACCGCAGCAAAAAAAATGGCTGCCCACTGCTCCGTGTGTGTGTTCACTGCTGTGTGTGTGCACTTTGGATGGGTTAAATGCAGAGCACTAATTCCAAGTATGGGTCACCATGCTTGGCCACATGTCACGTCAACAACTACAACAGGTAAGCATGTCAGTTTTGTGGACACTAGTGCTGGATTAACAATATCGATTTCTCATTTTTAATCGAAACTGATATGGATTCTTAAATCTCAAGATCAATCTTTTAGTCTGTGATGTTTTCGGCTGATGTGTGAACTTCACTATATTTTTTGTAGCACCTGCCATCCAATAATCGCAATAAGCTTTGTGCTTTGTTACTTTTAAAATGAAACAAAGTCTCAGCCTTCAAATTCTGTCAATTTTATCACAAACTACAAACAATAAATGTGGTTTTGACGCTCTTTAATGTGGTTTGACAGATCACTGTAACAGCCTCAGTTCAAGCGACACATGAACCGATCATCTCTTCCACTTTACTACTAGTTATAGCAAGAAATAAACATGAATGAATATCAAAAGGTGTTGAAAGAAACAGAACAACTTACTGAAATGTATTATGTCATGTAATCGCTCAATCAAACAGCTTGTAAACAACATATAGCATATAACATCACATTTACCTCAGGAAAGCCATTCATTCTCTATATACTTGGTATATATTTTTTTAATATTTAAAACTTAACCTGTTGTCTTAATGCATGTTTGAATAAATCTTTTAAATGTTTATATTTCAATAACAAATCTGAGTAGAAACATAATCCTCATTTAAAAGTTGACAAAAAGCTGTACGTGCAATTTAAATGTTTGTACAACTCAGTGTTGTTTATTAAATATATAGGATAATTCATTGATTATTAAATAACATGTATTTTCGTTTTCAGCCCAGAATTGTTAGTTAGGTGCATCAAAATGTCTTCTGAAGCCACACAACAGCTTTGCATGAGAAAATAATTGAAGTAGTCTTTATTCTCTGCATACTCTGAAATCCATCAATGAGTTAATGATAGAAGTAAAGATGAGATTGTTATTTTAGTCAAACCTTTTAAATGGATCTTTGATTCAGTTCAATCAATTGAACAATTTACTCCTAAATCAAACTGGTTCAATATGGACCCTTTTCACAAAACTGTGATGATTCGTTTCAACGTCATCAGAATCATAAATTCTCCAAAATTTGTTGCATTTTAATTTTTTTTAAATGTATGTACATTTCTAACACTATACTCTAATGCGAGGGTGTTTCTAAAACGGCGTCTATGGGAGTGACGGTAAATTTGACATTGTTCTCTCTACTGACTGCCGTTATCGGTCTCTATTTTTTTCCTTTTTTCAAAGTCATGAAAACACTATCATGGAGTTTTTCTTTTGCTATTTGAGCAAATGGGAATACAAAAAAATATATGTGTGGTAGTGTCCCATTCACTGCTTTAGAAGTTTACCCAACTATGATGACTTCTGCTGCTGAGAAACACGGAAATGTGAAAAAAGTCCATTTACCTCATCACTAAAACTTTAATACATGAAAAATGGCACACACAGTGAACATTTTTGAGTGATGCTGCAAAAGTGAATCATTGAATCAGAATTATGAATTAATAGAATGACAGACTGAAAACAGTTTGAACTGATTCATGAAAATCAAACAAACTTACCACCTCTAACGCAGTTTTTGCAACTGAAGTGTAATTCAGAAATACCGTCTTCACACTTTTATTCACAAGACATGACACAAGAAACACACAGCCTATGAATGATCATTTTCTGACAAAAGCAGTGTGATCTTGTCCAATAAGGAAATTATCACTTTCCTTCTCACATTTGTATTTCATTATTTGTCATCAGTCATGACCACACCTTAGCCGATTCACTGCATTTGTAAACCTTTCATCTACAATCATCATGACACGGTGTCTACACTTCGCTGCCTATATTAGGAGATGTCACGTTATGATGCCCGCAGTGCTGGCTGGATGCTAAATTTGACACTTGCCTGAATTATCATTTACTCTATTTCCAGTTCATAGTTTTATAAAAGATATTATGTTAAACCTGTTTAGTCAAATGGTCTTTACTATGAGAATGTCCTTCGCACTTTTGACCATTGTTTCTCAAGACATCTGAAATCAATCTATGTTTTTTCTTGTGCCTGTGGCTGTAAAGCAGCATATAAAACTTTTCAACACTGAGAACATTGTGTTGCAGACAATTACATTCTTAGTGTCATGCAAGATCCTATTCCCCTGCAGAAAACCATCCCTCTTCATCAATGTCCGATAAAAAGTTACTGTGATATCTTGTTCTGAATGTTGACACAGGAGAAACAATAAGGATTTTCTGGCCCATCACATAAGCATGTTTGAGCTTTCAGAACCAGTAAGGTTTGTTTTTATATATTGTGTGTTATGTGTATTTATGAATTTTTAAAGTTACATTTATTTTTTTTTGAATGAACTTATAATGAAGGGTCTGAAATCTTTCATTAAAAATATATTTTTTATTTTTTAGAAATATTAACAAAATTCTACAACAATTCTTAATTCATAATTAAAGAATCATAATTCTGCAACAGCGCAAACGACTGCATGAAAGAGAACAGACTGGCTGTATTGCACTTTTATTTGAGCAGAATAACTCAGAGACCACTAAACTACAACTTACATGTTTGCCAGTGTTTTCAGTTCATAAGCACTTTTTTCATAATGCAGAGAGAGTTTAAACCACTGGACAGAAAATGTATCGATTTCAGAAAAAAAGCGTTGATTGGGGGATTTAAACTCTTAACATCTGGCAACCGCAACCATGAAAACTTGTGAAGGCTTGTTACCAATACAAGATAATGCAATGCAAATACCAAAGTAAGTATGTAAGTAACCTGGATAGTTTTCCCCAAAATTAAAACTGTCATTTACTCACCCTCAAACTATTTCAAACCTGAATGAGTTTCTTTTTTTATAGTGAACACAAAAGAAGATATTTGAAAGGATGATATCTTGCATGACACCAGGAGTTTATGGGTTAAACCAGAGATGGATGGGGGCGCTGACGATTGTGAATTCTGAGCAAACACTGTGGAGATAAAGGCAGCAGTAAGGGTCTAATTCCACACTGATAACGAGCGACAAGCTGGCCTACATCCAGATTCATCATAAGGATCTGATACACATGCATTTACACCATACATTCAATATAATATCTATTACTTACTCCTGGCTGACGGGAAACTGATATGTCATAGTGAACATGCACAAAGAATAACGACTACTTTTTCTTTTTCTTTTAGGCATGTGACAGAGTAAAAAGTGCAAATTGATAAAGACAAACAAGTTGAAAAGGTTGACACTTTAATATCTCCAATAGCTGTAGTGCATGACTGCACAGACTAACAGCCTGTTTTATATGTGCACATGCAAAGTAATGGAAATGAAACCGAGAGATTCTGGTCTGGTGACATTTTTTTACTCCAGCATTGAGATCTCAGGATTATTATCAATGTCAGATCTGTTTTTGGAGAAGCTACTTTGAAGCTTCTCATTATTAGTCAAAATAGTTTCAATTTACGTTCTAAACACATTTGATAAAGTAATCTTTAATCAAAATGTAAAACCTCTTAAGTTGTGCCACTGAAATGAAATTCCTTGTCGACTGATTTCACTTAACCAATAGTCAAATACCTATCTACCATTTTAATAAACTGAGTTTGGTTACATTCTCGAATGCCCACTTTTCACAATACTATCCATTCCTGGTAAGTACCTTTGCACATTTTTCTCTTTACACCACATAGAAATGTCACATTACGAACATAAAACAGGTTGCTAAGCATTTAATACCACTGGATAACACCAAATCTAGGTTTAACACGAATATGCAATCAATCTAGTTTATAAGAAACATCCAATGTGATACACAGAAACCAAACTACATTTGGTAAGTTCACATCACCAGTGTGCCAACATTTGAATATTCCTCATGGGGACTGAGAGCTAGACACCTGTTAATCACACAAATTAAACTGTTATGACAGATCGGTCATCATGCTACAATATATTCCAAGGAAAAGCAGACTCAAATCTCTGTGCTTTCTAAATGTCTACAGTGGAATCTTTAAGGGGATGTGTGTCTTAAAGGGGAATTTTTGTGCATCATAGATTGTTAAATGATTCCCACGGTGTCAGGCTCAATACTCAAGTATCTACAGGACCTGAATGAGCATTTACAAAATCAATAAAACTAGCTGAAAATAATTTCTAAATGTTTTCTGATTATTTACTAATTACAGTTTATTCTGATAATTCTCACTTTGAAAATGACACATTAGCTCAGCTGACTGTTAGTTCAGCTGAGCTGAGATTTTGAGAACAAAGGATTATGAACAATTTGTGCAGTGGTTAATCAATGGGGTTTAAATGCTTGATAATGCAAACAAAAACTGCAGGATGACCCATATAATGGAAAAATATGACATACTAGGCTATCACAGTTTTATTATAAAAATGTGCACATCGATACTGTAAAAAGTGAACATCTTTACACAATATATATTTGCAAACTCAATTCAATA